AAGCAGGCTCCCCGCTGAGCAAGGGCTTGATGTGGGGCTTGATTCCAGGACCCTGGGATCATGACCTAAGCCCAAAGCAGACGCTTAACACTGAGCCACCCAGGCACCCCTGGGTATGATTTTAAATGAAATCCAAGCATGTTCTCTCCTTGTCTAGTTTAAGTGCAGCCACCAGGAATGCAGAGTAGCATTTAAGGTATAAAGTACTCTTTTCTCGAGGACAACACTGTGGTGAGAGAGGCAATCTCACCATATACCAAGGTTCTCCTTGCAGGTGGAGCAGACAAGCCCTGGGAAAGACTAGAATGCAGGACTCATAGGCTCTCTGCCCTAGCTCCATGACAACCCTTTGTGCCAGAGCCTGGGTTTTGCAGCAAAACTCAGTTCAGGCCAGGGAACCCTGGGTCCACCAAGAATCCTAAGCAATCTATTGAACCTCCTGAAATTGCCAGTCCTGCTGCATCAAGCATTAATTTACCAGAAAAATAACAGGATGATTCTATTCCTTGGGTGAGCTAACAATAAACTTGGCAGGTAGCTTGCATGCTGTTCATGCACACTAATAGAAGCGAATCCCTTAAACTGATAAAGGACATGAAACCATTTTTTTTAATTTTAAAAGATTTTTATTTGAGAGAGTGAGAGAGAGAGAGAGAGTATGAGCAGGGAGAGAGTCAAAAGGAGAAGGAGAAGCAGACTCCCCGCTGAGCAGGGAGCCCAAAGCAGGGCTCTATCCCAAGACTCTGAGGTCATGACCTGAGCCGAAGGCAGACACTTAATGGACTGAGCCACTCAGGCGCCCCTGAAGCCAATTATTAATGTATTGCCTCTCCACTCCAAATTTGCCCATCAAAACATGCTCTCTGATAGTAGACACAATTCGTTAAGTATCTCTCCTTCAAAGTGACACAATGTTATATTTTCTCAGTAGAAGACACTGGAGGGACATTGAAGAAAGTACCTCTCCTCTTCTTTCTGGTTCTCGGAGGTGTGTGTGTGTGTGTGTGTGTGTGTGTGTGTGTGTATCATCAGTGCTTTGCCCCAGGCATGAGCCAAGAACACCTGTCCTCATTGGATGTACAGTCCTGGTGTGGCCGGCTCATCATCTTTCTATGGCTTTCTTCACAGAGACATCTTGTGCTCCAAACTACCTGCCCACTGATTCTCTCTGCTTGCTTTCTCTACTGCCCCTACCCGTCCCCTGCCCAACAAGTTTATCATCTGTAGTTCTCCCAGTGCTCTAGCCCTTCCAACACCATGGCCCTTCTGATCCTGTGCGCAGGACATTTTTAGCTCCGGGCCTCCAACTCCACCAGCATCCCTATTCCTACTACATGTCCATACACTGACCACTAGTTGTTGCTTGTCCACACCTATGTGTTCCAGAGAGCTGCTTCCTGCTCGCCTTGCAACTGTAGACCAGCTCTAGTTCTGCAAACCAGCTCTGGTGCCCACAAACCAGCAAACTTTTCTGCCATGCAATAGGTCCTCCTATACTTTCTCCAGTGAGGTGTGAACCCCAGCCTTTGATAGGGCCACCCCCACTTCAAATTTGTGTATCCTCGAGTACTCTCTCTCAGCCCCAGAATACCATACACAGTTTTCTCATATCCTATATATTACACAATTCTCATAGCTTAACTTGATGTTAAACTTCTCCTGTCCACTGTACACTTTCTAACTCTTGACTGGACCACATTGCGATAGAACACAACATCTATATGAAATACCACTCTTAGAATTACTGAAACCTTTCTCTTTCAGAGCTGAGCCAAATAACGATGTCCACCATCACCTAGAGAGAGCAGGAAGGGGGGAAAAAAGATTAAAAAATTCCTTCGAAAGGAAAAAAAAACTGGGATTATTTGCAGATGTTATGATTCCGTACATTAGATCCTTATCTGTATTTATAAACAAGTTATTAGAATCAACAAAAGAGTTTAGATGTTTATAGCTTAAAGAAATCAACATACAAACACCAACTATACTTTATTTGCCAGGGAAAAAATTTAGAAAGTGAAAATGTCAAAGATGGTATTTGCAAAATATGAAGTACCAGGATGAAAATGTCTTTCTATGGAAAATACACAAAATGTTATTGGAATATTAAATGAGTTATTTTATTAAAAAGAGAGATCATATCCATGAAACAAACATTCAATATTGAAAAGACATTAAATCTTAAAGCTCAACACAATCTCAATTAAAATCTCAAACAAGCTTTTAGTTGAACTTCTAATGAATTGATCATTTAAATGGCGTCAAAACAGGCTAAAAAATAACAAGACACCTTCGAAGAACAAAGTAGAATGGGCTGGTCTTATCCATATATCAAGACTGACTTCAGATCTGTAGTAATTAATACTGATATATGGTATTTCAAATAAATAAATAAGCCCATACATAGGTAGACACTTGATTTATGACCATGTTGTTGTAAATAAGTTGGAAAAGAGAAGACTTTTCAAAAGTGGTTTACTGAGACAATCAGATACCAATGGGGGGGGCAGGAAATCAGAACCCTACTCAGTATCATACATAAACATCACCTGTAGGGAGATTAAGACCTACCTGTGAAAGGTAAAGTCATAAATATTTTAGAAGATAATACAGAGAATATGTTCTTAGCCCCAAGAAAGGGAGAGATTTCTAAAAACAGACGAGCACTAATAATAAAGAAAAGAATGATAAATTTGACTGTATAGCATCTGTTCACAAAGCATAGCATAAATCAAGTGAAAATTCAAGCAACAAAGCAAAGGAATATTTTGACCACACATATAATCAATGGACTAGTATTTAAAACACATAAATAACTCGATAAATGAGTAGGTGTAGATGGAAAATAGAAGGATGGCTGACAGAATTAATCTTGAACAGTCCTTTCACAGAAGAAAAAAAAATCCAAAAGGCTCATTAACATAAGAATATGCAAAAGCTGAACAGTAATAGTGGGGGGATAAAAAAGTTCTGCCAATCCTACGTGTAGGTGAAGATGTCTAGCATCAGGAGCTCTATGCTACTTGAGAGAGTGTAAATTGTCACTATTACAGAAACCAATTTGGCATCATCTAGAAAAGCTGAAGATATTCATACTCCATATCCAAGTGAATGTGGTTTTGGAGGTATACCCAAGAGACTTTTACACATGTGTTCCATGGGAAATTTCCAGGAATGTTCACTGCAACATTGTTCATAGTGGTCAAAAACTAGAAACAACCCTAGTGTCCATCCACTGTAGAATTGTAAGTATAATCATAACATAATCACTTCACTAAAACTATACACTGGAACGCTAGTCAATAATGGAGACAAAGGATTTTCAGCTACCTTGAACAACATGGATGAGTCTGTCAAATCACACGTATCATATGATACAACGTGAGAGAAAAAAGCCATCAAAGGAAGCATGCAATTCCACTTATAACTCGTATACATAAACTGTATTATCTAGAGATGTGTAGAAAAATGGTAAAGCTATCAGAAGAGCTCTGAAATCATCACATTGTCAGGACAATGACTATATCTATAAGGAAGGGAGTGGGCTGTGATTGGGAGGAACACAGTGTCTGCATTCTGGAAACCTGGCAGTGGTCTATTTCTTGACCTCGGTCCTAGTTACATGGGTGTTTGTTTTTATAAGTTATCTAAACCTGGTAGGTATGTTTTATGAACTCCTCTATATCTCAGATTTCAAAAATGGTTTCCTTCAAAAAATGTAATGGAAGGAAAATATGTGAAGGAAAAATTTTGATGAGGTTTAGATCCCTAATAGGGATGAAAAAAAATTTTTCTTCCTATCAAGTGATCTGCAAATATACATTATCACTAGAAAGGGGGAAAGTGGAGATTTATTTAAACTATATGCACCCCATAATTTAGTTACTACTCTCAACCTTTCTCTTGCTAGATATTTCACCCTATATTCATATCACTTCCCAAATCACAGATGACAGACAAGTCGGAAGATCGTAAACATCATTAATACAATCATTAGGCATCACAGGCCATATCCATTACAGTAAGATTGGGCCACGACACTGAAATGCAAGCAGGCACACCAAGACTATTGAACACGGTCATATGTGTATTTTTCTCAGCAGAGTCCATGATGGTGACTTAGGGTTTAATCTTGTCACATTTACCTGGTAGTCTTGTCCAGAGACCTCCACGTGCTGGAGAATCTAGAATTAGCTGAGGAATGCTGTGGGATTGGACATGAAATTTACCATGGTGTAATGGCAGAGTTGGTTTAGGTTGTGCACTGTCTTGGAAAAGCCCAGGGGTGGGTAGGGTTTTCTAGGATTCAATATAAATTGTTTCATCTTCCAGGCTTTGAACTTCTAGGCTGAACAGTGGTAATCCGTTTTGGCCCCACCTCTTATTGATTCTAATTTCTGTACCAGCAGGCAAAACAAAATAAATAAATAAGTATAAAACAAATTTTCCTGAGGATCTTGCTCAAGACAGTTCTGGATATGGAAGTTGTCTGGGGTTGGGGGGGGACATCATTTTCAGTAGAATTTACTAGCACTGTGGTAGTTCAATGTTGACACATAGCGCGTTGTCCCAGGAATTTTCTCTCCCTGGATTGATAAATCCAGCCAGGCAGCCAGCCAGGGAGCCATCCAGTAAACAATTTTTTTTTTTTTAAACACCACGCTTAGCACTGGGAGGAGGTGGGGTGTTCATTTTGGTATATACAGTGATGTACAGATTTAAGTTGCATTTAGCAGATAGATTGCTAGGTATTCCAGCACCGTTTACCGAATGAACTTTCATTTCCTTATTATCTGGGAAGACGTCCTTGATTTCCCACAAATATCAGATGTAGAACTTATTTGTGCATACCAGGTTCTGCCTCTGGGCTTTCTATTTTGTCCCAGAGACCCAGTACCAGAATATTTAAATCACTGTGTCGTTAAACACGTTTTAATATCTGATAGGGCCAGTTTCTGCGCATTGCACATTTTTTTTTTTTTTTTCCTTTCAGGAACGTGTTCAGGCCCGCGGCAGGGGGCGGGGTCGCGCCTCCTCCGCGGCTCTGGTTCCAGTGGAGCCTCACCGACGCGGAGATGGAAAGCCCGAGGCTGCTCCCGGCTGGTGGGACACGACAGAGCGGCGGTGTTAGCAGCCCCGCGGGCGCCAGCCGGTTCCACGGCGGCCCTGACCCGCGAGCTGGCCAGGTCCCCGCGCGCCGCCTCCTGCTGCTCCGGGGCCCCCAAGATGGCGGGCCGGGGAGGCGGCACGAGGAGGCCCGCACGGCCTCACGGGGCCCGGGCCCGAGCCCGTTGGCCCCGAGGTTGGATCACGCTGGCGGCGGCGACAGCGATGACTTCTTCCTGGTGCTGCTGGACCCGGCGGGTGGCGACGTGGAGACCACGGGCGCCGGCCAGGCCGCAGGGCCTGTATGGAGGGAGGAGGCCGAGTCGGTCCCACAGCTCCAGCAGGGTGAGAGTGACGCGAATCCCGCGGGCCGCCAGGCGCTAGGCCCTGGCTGCCAGTCCGCAGTCCCCGCCCCATCCCCGGCTGAGAACCCGATCCCCGCCCCAGGCCTGGGACCCGCCGCGGCCTTCACGGGCACGGTCACCATCCACAACCAAAACCTGCTGTTGCGCTTCGAGAACGGTGTCCTCACCCTGGCCACGCCCCCGCCGCCAGCCTGGGAGCCTGGGGTCGCGCCTGCCCCTCAGCCTGGGGGTCTGATGGCTCCGCAAGCGGGCGTCCCGCACGCCGCGCAGGCCAGCGACTGCCCAGAGCTGCCGCCCGACCTCCTGCTGGCCGAGCCGGCTGAACCCGCGCCGGCTCCAGCGCCTGAGGAGGAGGCAGAGGGCCGGGCCGCAGCCGAAAGTCCCCCCCGCAGGCCGCTGGGCCCAGGCCCGGGCGTGGTGCTGTACCTGTGTCCCGAGGCTCAGTGCGGACAAACCTTCGCCAAGAAGCACCAGCTGAAGGTGCACCTGCTGACTCACAGCAGCAGCCAGGGCCAGCGGCCCTTCAAGTGCCCCCTGGGCGGCTGTGGCTGGACTTTCACCACCTCCTACAAGCTCAAGAGGCACCTGCAGTCGCACGACAAACTGCGGCCCTTTGGCTGCCCTGCAGAGGGCTGTGGCAAGAGCTTCACCACGGTTTATAACCTCAAGGCACACATGAAGGGCCATGAGCAGGAGAACTCGTTCAAATGCGAGGTGTGCGAGGAGAGCTTCCCCACTCAGGCCAAACTCAGCGCCCACCAGCGCAGCCATTTCGAGCCCGAGAGGCCATACCAGTGCGCGTTTTCTGGCTGCAAGAAGACGTTTATCACAGTGAGTGCCCTGTTTTCCCATAACCGTGCCCATTTCAGGGAACAGGAACTTTTTTCCTGCTCTTTTCCTGGCTGCAGCAAACAGTACGACAAGGCTTGTCGCCTGAAAATTCACCTGCGGAGCCACACCGGTGAGAGACCTTTCCTTTGTGACTTTGACGGCTGTGGCTGGAACTTCACCAGCATGTCTAAACTCTTAAGGCACAAAAGGAAGCACGAGGATGACCGGAGGTTCATGTGCCCTGTGGAAGGTTGTGGGAAATCTTTCACAAGGGCTGAGCATCTGAAAGGCCACAGCATAACCCACCTGGGCACAAAGCCATTTGTGTGCCCTGTGGAAGGCTGCTGTGCCAGGTTCTCTGCTCGCAGTAGTCTTTACATTCACTCCAAGAAACACTTGCAGGACGTGGACACTTGGAAAAGCCGTTGCCCAGTCTCTACTTGTAATAAACTCTTCACATCCAAGCACAGCATGAAGACCCACATGGCCAAAAGGCACAACCTCGGCCAGGATCTCTTAGCTCAGCTAGAAGCTGCAAACTCTCTTACCCCCAGCAGTGAACTTACCAGCCAGGGACAGAGTGATCTCAGTGATGCAGAGCTAGTGTCTCTCTTCTCTGATGTGCCTGGCAGTAGTTCAGCTGCAGTGCTGGACACAGCATTGGTGAACTCTGGAATCTTAACTATTGATGTGGCTTCTGTGAGTTCAACTCTGGCAGGAAGCCTCCCTGCTAATAATAATAATTCCTTGGGGCAGGCTGTGGACCCTCGGGCCTTGATGGCCACCAGTGACCTTCCTCAAAGTCTGGATACCTCTCTGTTTTTTGGAACGACAGCCTCTGGCTTTCAGCAGAGTCCCTTAGATATGGATGATGTTCCAAGTCTAAGTGTGGGGCCATTGGCATCTCTGGGCTCTTTGGCTATGAAAAACTCGAGTCAAGAGCCCCAAGCTTTGACCCCCAGCAGTAAGCTAACAGTGGACACAGATGCTCTGACTCCTTCAAGCACCCTTTGTGAAAACAGTGTCTCAGAACTACTGCCGCCAACCAAAGCAGAATGGAATGTACATCCTGACTCCGACTTCTTTGGACAGGAGGAGGAAACCCAGTTTGGCTTCTCCAATGCAGCAGGAAACCATGGTTCTCAGAAAGAAACAGATCTTATCACAGTGACTGGCAGCTCATTTTTGGTATGAACTAACTATTAATTCCTTGCCACGTGGCTTATTCTTATGAATTACACTCAATTTTTAGGATATTCTGGACTAAATGTTTAACTGCAGGCATTTCTTAGAGGTTTGAAAAAGAACAACACACTGGGCTATATGTTTGGAGATTTAAATTATGATCTTGTTCCTGGAACTCTCAAGTTGTGTGACCCTGAGCAAGTCACTTAACCTATCTGAGCCTTAATTTCCTTATTTATAAAATGAGGTGGTTTGAATAGATGTTGTTTCTAAGAACTTTTCAGCTCTGTAATTCCTTGATGATAAGCTTATTTCCTTGTGAAAAAAATTAGGGCTTTTTTTAGTGATTGTGTTGCATGTGCTTTTTTCCAACTTACATAATAGTGTAATGCACAGTCATGTTTTTAGTAGCCAAGTTCAACTATTATCAGTTTGTAAACAATTTTGTTTATCTTATCTTCATTTTAACCCTCACCAAGAATTATTTTGGAACAAATACCATACTTTACCTCATTTCAACCCTAATTATTCTATATATAGTTCTGTAAAGTACAGTCTTTTTTGAAAAAAAATTACAATTCCATTATCATACTTAAAGGTAGCAGTAACTCCTTAATCGAAATATCCAATCAGATTCCAATTTGCAGTTGTCTCTTAAATGCTATTTATTTATTTTTAATATAGAGTTCCAATAAATCTCTTAAGTGTCTTTTTCATTTGTGTTTCCCCTTTGTTTTTTATTTGCATTTTTATTTCTTTACAAAATAGGTTGTTTCACTAGAAGCATTTACCACAATCTTAAATTGCATCCTTGTGGTGTTAAGTTCATTTACCCTCTGTTTCCTTAATTTGATAGTTGGATCTAGAGACTTGATAAGACTGGAAATATGATTTTGGGAAGAAGAAAATGTTCCTTAGGTCTTGTTGTATTCTTTTTATCAGGTGGTACATATTGTCTGGTTCTCTCTCTTTTTGTGATATTTGCAGCTGCTGCTTTTGTATGCATTTATTGGTGATTACCTGTGTTTCTGATATCATGGTTAGTTCTTGTAGAATTACTATTAGTGGAGGAGGAAATGCTGTTTAAGGCATTTGTAAAAGTTTAATTGAAGTATTATTCAATGCCAGAATATTTTCTTAAGTAGTGATAGAATTAGCAATGAAAAAAGATAACAAAACATATATTGGCTATACTTGCCATTTATCATCCTGACCTTTATAAATGAGGGTAGGATTTGTTTTTGTTGAAGTTTACAGCCAGAATTTTGACATGAAACAAGTCCAGGATCAAGTTTGTGTGGGGTAAGTGGCCTTGAATAAATTAGTTTCACTAAGCCTGAGTTTCCTAGCTGTCAGATGATCATAGCAATGCACACACATAGCTAACACACTTTAGACTTTTCTTCTTTTCCAGTTTTTAATATGTAAGGAAAAGAATTGTGGTTTTTGGCATATTTTGATGAATATTATATATATATATATATATATATATATATATATATATATCCCCTCTCAGGCCTTCTTGCTATAAGGAAGAAATTGAGAAATTGAGATATTTAATCCTATACATGTTTAAACAATAAATTTCGTGAGGGTTAGAGTGAGGCAGGATAGGGAATCTGTATTTTCTCCACTGAATAATTCCTCACCTTTCACAGATTTCTGTGGGGAAATGCCAGGAGTGGAGACATTGCTCACAGGTATATCAGCAACCCTTTCTTTCCCTTAGATCAGTTTGTCACCCTCTTTGCTCTGCTTCCAAAGTCAGACTTAGCTGTGATTATGGAGCCTGCTGTTACATGAAGCTCTGATAATGGAACAGAGTTTTCCTCCTTTCTGTGGTCTAGAGAGCTCATTGTTTGCATTTTCTCAGAGTTGGAAGGATAGAATGAATCTGATTATTATGTAAACTGTCTGTCTTATATGAGAGCAACTTTCGAATTTTGTGGAACATCTTCACAACTGGTATCTTATTTGTTTTTCAGAACAACCCTGTGTGGTAGTTTTGGCAAAGTTACTGGATTCATGACAGTTTAGCCAACTTACATTCCAAATGGGCTTTCGCTAGTGACTATATGTAGTTCTATACATTTGGCTAGTGACTATACATAGTTCTATACATAGCTGAAAACAAAGAAGAGAAATTATTTTGACCTCTCCTTTTCCACTCATCTAACTTCCATGATTCATTCCAGTGTCAAAACTAGCTGCTGTTTCAGACTTTAATTGATTTCTATTACTTATTGCTTAACTGCTCCATTCCCTTGCATGTGCATGTGCATTCCCATCTTTGCCGTCCTTTCTTTTTCTTATTTTTTAATGGATAGTTATGTTGCCCCTGTTTTCTCATCTTAGATAATACTGTGTGTAACATACACACACATATATATGACTCAGATGATAAATGAGATTATTTTCTACATTGTTCAGATGAGAAATAGACCTCTGTTTCATTGTTTAAAAGTTTTTGCCACAGAGTTTGGCTAACTAATGCTTTCTTAATTGCTCTAGTGTACTAGTCCAGTAGTGTTTGCACGTGAATGTCTATGGATGACAGTTATTGTCGCACTTTGGCAGTGCACTAAAAATTTGCCACTTGAAATGTTTCTGTTCTGTGTGTGGGTATACACATATACACACACATATATTTGTTTAAGTGGTTGTATTCGTTTAGTGAAAAAGTAGTCATACTTTTGTAAATCAGAAATGTTCTATTGTCTACTCATTCAACAGTTTTCTCCCTTTACTTTGAAATATTTGTATTTATAAAGTACATTTCAAAAATCCTGTCACTCATTAAGTTCTCTTAAATAGACCACTATTTTTCATGTCCAGAAGATACATGTGTCCGGCATTGAAATGAATGCACAAGTAGCAAACAGCAAATAAATTATTTAAACACCAAGAGAATTTAATATTGTGACTTTCTTTTTCTAATTCCTTAAACCAACTTTCTCCCACTAAAAAACCATAAAAAATTTTCTTATTCATTGCTGTAATTTTCAAAGGATAAATGTTACTTTTTTCAAAAATAAAAACTTTTATTTGTCCATGGGCTCACAGAGTTTCACTGAACAAATTTGTTCAAATGATTTATCTTTCAACACCATTTTCTAGAAAAATGATGAATCTCTTTATACTTTCAAGGTGAGAAGTCTAGTTTTTGTTGATGGTGACATAAAGTTGCCATTACTCCTTTTAAATAAAGGCACGTGTTTTATTTAATCCTATTTCCTTTGTTTTGTTCTTCATTCTTCAGTTTATTAAAAAATCTTGCCAAAAATAAGTCTTGCCAAAAAAATTAATAAAATCTTGTCAATTAAAAACACAGCAACATAATGGCTTAAAAAGAAGTCTGCTTCTAGGGGTCTCTGTTGATCATGTTGATTGTAAATTAAAATGTACATTGGCATTGGCATTTTTACAAATTAGTATAATTAATATGACATAATGCCTGAGTAACAGGAGTAAAACATGGGTAGATTATGAAGTTTATTTGTCTTGGTGACCTAAACTCTTCATGTTCTTTTCCAGGAAACGTTTAAGAAGGCAATTTGTCAGCTGGAGTTTCCATTGTATTTATTTCAAGTTAACAAATACTAAGTACATCATTGTGCAAAAACAACATAACATATTGAGGATTCTATGATAAGAATAATATGCAATTCTGACCTTTAAGGAGGTCACAATTGGTAGGAGGGGAGAGAAAAACATTTTTCAAAGAATTGGGGAACAGAAATTGGGTAAGTTTAATTGTTACCAAAATGACTGAGAGGTGAATACACACACACACACCTAACTCACACACAATCATTAAAGACAATGAGGAATTTATTCTGGGCACAGATGAAAACCCGTGAACATGTCTTAATAGAGGAGTCAGATCATGAAAATTATGTCTTAGAAAGGTTAATGTAATGGAGATGTACAGTATGAATTAGGTAGAGAAACTGGAATAGGAGAATCAGTGAAAAAAACCTGCAGCAATTTAAGTGTAATATAATGAAGCATAAAGCCTGGGCTAGAGTGGTGTCAGTGGGAAGTGAAAGGAAGTACCAATATTGAAGAAGTTTTCAAATTGAGGAAAGAGTAGTTCTTAGTGCCTCACTGGGGAGATAGATGATGATAGATAACATTAGAGTGAGACTGAGAGAAATCAGAAATGATAACTCAGGTATCCTTAGGGACTGTAATAATAACATTTTTACTAACTGAGTTAAGAGTTTAACTCTTAAGCAAGAGTTTTCAGAATTAAGTTTGTAAAGATGGTGTTTAGTTAAATGCTAATTGATATATCATAGTTATCCCTGCATAAGCTGTCCATATTGTAGTTATTCACTTTCTAGACAACAACAGAGGGCCACTTCTTCTTTCTTGGTTCCTTCAAGCATGCTCAAAACTAACTGTATAGTTCTATTCTTTTTACTTCCCCTTCAGTTACCAGAGTCCTCCTTATCTTGTCTTGAATAATCGAGATCTGCACTAATCAATATGGCAACTACTAGTCATATGTGGCTACTGAGCAGTTGAAATGTGGTTACTATGACTGAAAGACTGGATTTTTAATTTAATTAATTTAAATTTAAATGCTGAAGCAGTTTAAAATAGTTTCCTGTTAAGTATAATTTTACTGCTTTAGTAAGGTTAAATTTCACTTTATTGACAATTTTGCATCTGAATTAAGATGTGCTGTAGAATACAAACCAGATTTTATTAGTTTAAAAATATTTCATGAGTATATGTATATTGATTACATATTGAATAATATTTGAATTTATTCAGCGTTATTGACAATGTTATAAGATATTTAAAATGTACATTGTGGTGATATGTATAATTGTGAAAGAATTCCCACCATCTAGTTAATTAACACATCCATTACCTCACATTTTTACTTATTTGTAGTGAGAACATTTTATTTTAAATATATTTGCTCAAAGAAAATGTAGTGTTAAAATTAATTTTAGCAGTTTTTTATTTTTTAAATTTTTATTTATTATTTATTTATTTATTTTTCTGCCTTTTTTTTATTATGTTCAGTTAGCCAACATATAATACATCATTAGTTTTTGATTTAGTGTACAATTCATTAGTTGCTTATAACATCCAGGGTTCCTCACCACATGTGCCCTCCTTAATAACCATCTAGAGGTGGGGAGCAAAAGAGGGAGAGGGAGAACATCTTAAGTTTGCTCCATGCCAAATCTTTGACTTGAGATATTCTAGAAGTGATTCTAGAGATTTTATATTTTCCTTTCTCATTTTATGAATGAGAAAAAGTATTAAAGCCTATACTTTTGTATGTGAAATTTATTCTTCTTATAATAATGAAGCCAAAATTTAATTTCTGGAATAATAGGGACATTATTTTGAAAGTAACTTCATTTTATAGTCACACTAGCTGGAAGGAGGGAGATAGTAATTCATTTCATGTAACATTTGAGTCTGAGACCTAAACATGAAAGAATTTTAAAGTTCACCAGTACACTAGATGTGTGTGGGGGGTGTTGGGGGGTTGTCCAGATAAATATGCATTTTGATTTCTAGGTAAAAATAGTACCTTAACACTTTCAGTCTGTCCCAAATTAGCATAGCTTTCTTTAGTGATAAGCAACTTA